TCTTTCTACTGTTGACAGCTACACAACAAAACCCCTTATGGCACAGCATGCAGCTGTATGGGAAGAGGAGGAAGGATCACCTCCAGCATGCAGAGAGTCCCAAAGTAGTTAAGAGTTGCACACCAGTTGTAACCCAACAGCCCAAACACAGCAACACTGCAACTGTCCATCTCAGATTAAAAAGAAATCATCTTCAGTAAAGCTGAAAGTGAGTTTTAATGCTACCCTAAAATAACCATTCACACATGCAAACCAATTACTGGTGCAGGTACTCCAGTGTGAAAGCAAAGACAGAACAACACCTTGTCCTTCTCTCAAGTACATTAAAGAATTCCATGTTTCTGTAAAGATGCCTTTGTATATGCAGGTCCTGTGTTTTGTCTCATACTGACTGCACTCTGGAACTGTGCTTTTACAAGGACCAGCAGAGCAAAGATCTCCTCTGCAGCTGATCCTCTCATTTGCTAAGGCCACAAATAGAAATTACACAAGAAATATTTAAAATCGTGGATACTTAGTGAAACCTCCTCAGTACACTTTCCATGCCCTCTTGCCTAGTGACTCTCCCCTCTATCTAGAGACTGAAAAAGCGTTTCCCTGATTTGTACACAAACAGCAGCAAGTCAGTTTTGAAGGGGAAAGAAGAAGAAAGGCAGTGCTGAAAACTCGAAGGATTATTTACGAACAAGCTGAAGCCCTATAAACTTGGCTATTGAAGAAAGATAATCCTCTCTAGCTTATGCCAAGTGGGTCAGACAGAGGAAGAACCTCAGCAGTCTTCAAAGTCGAAGCAGATGGGGAAGTGAATAAGTGCCCATGTGAGCGAAAAGGAAACAAGCTTCTGTTCATTTTAGCTTGTTTCAGAGCGTCAGTTTTCTAGACACCACCAAAATGCCAGACCTTTAACTGACACAAGCAGAGGAGCTCACTTCTGTAAGTATTACAACTGCAGAGTAATTACTTAAGACTGCTACTGGTACAAAGAAAAAAGAAAAATGAAGTCCTGGTGTGCTCAAATTTAAGATGTTGCTTAGCTTGGTAGGAGGGAATCAGGTAAAGTGAAGGAAAGGTGCTAAAAGGCAGAGACTGAGAGAAATGTTCTTTTCTGTGTGGCTATGAAAAAAAACCCTTGGGATTCTTTATCATTAGCGTTTCAGTATCACAGATATAAATATTTATGCAGCTGTAAGGTAGGCTCTACTTTAGAGCTAATTGTAGCTCTAATTAGAGAATTTAAAAAAAACACGTGAGCTTGTAACTAAATTTTTTACCATTTTTGAAACAAAAAAGCACAGTCCATGCATGCCACAAAACGAACACACACCACATTCTTCAAAAAGCTGAAGTTGACCTCTTGGTCCTTTCTCAGGCTTTACATTGCCAGACAAGATCTGGGCCAAGATCATTTCCATACACAGGGATGCATCTCTGTCTCAGGCTAACCTCATCATCCAAGTGGTGAAACCTAAAACCAAATAATCTCTCCCAGGGTTATGCTTGTGGAACTGGGAATCTCTCCATCTGCCTCAGCAATACAAAAAGATCACTGGCTGCAAAATAAACAACACATGAACCACAGAACAATAGCCCCTCCAGTCAATGCTGCTCATGCCACCCACCAAGGGCTAATAATTTTCTAACAGATCCCTCCTCCTAAAGAAACTTTTCATACTTTGAAGAAAGACCTTGTGCAAGTTGACAAGATGCAACTTCTTTTGGATCCCTACAAAGGAAGGACTCCCTTCCGCTCTGAACTCCTGGGAGTTTTGCAAGCTATCTGCAATCAGAAGCAATAAACCCTGAAGGAGCACAGAAATACTTTTAATCAAGAACATTTAAAATGAGTGGTGACCAGTGGAAGAAGGAGTATTCAGTGCTATAGTTTGCTAGGAAGACACAGAGAGCCAAGGACATGCTGAGGAGATGCTTGTCTTCCAAAGAAAATATTTCTAAGAGAAACAGGCAACCTTCCACCATTTATTTTAGGAGGTTGCTGCTGCGCTGCATCAGCTATTCCAGTGGTGTCTCCATGAGTGTTTTTTGCCCAAGACTTCTGCTGGAAGAGCCAGAACTGCAAAACTTGTAAGAAAACTCCACAGGAAGAGGCACTGAGAGGTTGCACAACACCAACCCTCTTCAGAGACACGTATCTTCACTTATGCAAACTCGAGTGATCCTCTGATATTCAGGCTGGGTTGTGTGGAGCATAGTTAAGACAAGAATAGGTTTATGAAGTCTTTGCTTGTTTTTCTGCAGTGTGTTTAACTATACATCAAGAAATTTGCTAAAATGAGAAGTGTGAAGGAATGGGGAAAGGCTGTGTTACGAGAAATAACAAGGGGAGAGCTTGAAACTACAATCATTTGAGTTTATTTTCCTATTATCAGTTATCATGCAAGCTGAAAAGTTAACTACCTTGCTTTATGTAACTTTTTACCATGACAACTAATGACAACTATTCCTTTTTTAGCTAAGATACCATCACTCTCACAGCAGCTTTAAATGTTTTAAGATCTAAAGAGAGGATTCCCCTATATTCCTTTCCCCACTAAAAAAACCCACACACGTTAACCTTGAGGACCACATAAAGTTGCATTTGCTGTAGTCAGACCTTTGCTCTGCACTCTGATGTAGAGGGAGGGGGAAAAAAAGATATACAAGTTAACAAACTCATACTGGCTTTTTAAAAGCATCTCCACAAAAAGGATTTTTTTTTTTTTTAACACGTACATTTGACCTGGGTTAACACTGCAGTGTGGGGAGTTGAAAAGGGATCACCTGATGAAACAGAAATACCTCCCTCCAAACTATATTGCAGGAATTACAGCCAAGCACCCCAACCGCAGCAAACAGTAAGAGCCTTCTGGAACAGCACACGTTCTGTGTCAGCAAAGCAGCACTAATTCAAAACTGAATTCAAATAAAGGAGTACTGACCCTTCGGAAAGGGTAGGGCTTCATCAAGCTTCCACCACACCAAACAAAAGCTACTGAAGATATTCAAACCATTGCAAAAAATTATTATATCAAAAGGAGGAAAACAGTGTCAGCCTTGTACATGTTTTGTTGTTGAATAATGACAGTGTTTACCTTCCCAACCTAACACATTACTGCTCTGGACCCAACTTTAAAGCAGAGTACATGACAGAATTAATTATGTCCTTTCCTCTTAACTACCATTCCCTGGTTATTTATTAGCTCAGTCTGCATATATTCATAGATGTGTCTAATATACAAAGTTAAAAGGATTTAAAACTGTTGCCTAAATACCTCCCTGGTTTGCAGAGTCCTCTCCACTCTCTGGACAGGCAGAGGCATCAATAAATACAGCCTTAGGCTGCAAGTTAATCACTCCTCAAGCAGTTGAGGGAGACATGGGGGAACCACAAGCGTGCTGTGACGGGCAAGAGCGTCTCACGGGCAACACAGTGATGGATCACAGGCAACAGTCTCCCTCAGACATGTACTACACATGGTTCTGATAAGGTCTTTTCTCTGATTTAGTAAAATAGAAAGGCTGCCAGCACATCCAGCTTTGTCTTACAGCCAGTTTGCAGTTTAGCAAACCACCAGGCAGACCACCTACTGGAGCTACAAGGTCCACCTCTGTTGGAGCACCCACAGCTTGGAGGCCACCAGCCAGTTCCTGGGTGTTTCAGGAAAATACAAAAGCCACGCCCCACAACAGAGCCTGAGTTCACTACCTTGGCAAAGGAATGGCAGAGAGATAAATTCAGATAAGCTACCTGAATGGAAACCTCAAAGGAACCCAAAAGCCTCTCTGGAGTTTTCTATTTTGCTAAAATGACATTTTCAGGCTAAAGACCTATTCACTCTCCTGAAGTCCTCCCTGTAGAGGGTCAAACACCAGGGATAAGCAGATTGGAGAAGACTTCTGCTTTAGGACTGAATCAATTTTATTTCACTGAGGTCCATCCAGCAGAAAGCAGAGAGAGAAAAAAGAAAACCCTTTCACAGAAACCTCACAAAGAACAGCAGCAGCACTTTTACCTTTGTCAGCATAGATTTCAGGATACTATATTCCTGTGTGAATACTGCAGTCACTGTTTGGTTTCATCCAGAATCACAAGCAATTTCAACTTATACATCAAATTATCTGCGTATCTGGGGATTAACTTCTTGTCTTGCAGAGGTCAATCAAATCTTCTCTCCATCACAGGGAAAGGAACATAAAGTCCATTTTGGTACAGTAGCACACTAAATTCTTCCATCCATCACTGAAGGTACCCTGGCACTGGATTTGCACTCAGGAGAATGCACCTGTGCTATGGAGCAGCACAGAAACTGGGTCTGAGAAGGTATTTAGAAGAAGCAAAGACCATGGGCTTGTAATCAACACCCAGAAACCCTGTTAATCATTGATCAGCTTGAATTTAGCATTTTATTAGTATAGATGGGGTTTAGAGAAGAAAGGGGAGTGTTAAATTTGTCTGGGATCTTCCATCTTTTGGGCTAAAAAAATAAAAAATTCTGAAGCTTTTTGATTTCTCCATGTCAGAAACTCCTGCCTAGAACTGTTGAGGGAAACAGGGAAGAAAAAGGGGTGGAGGAAGAGCAACTGTATCTAAAAACCTGGAAGTATTAAGGTTTCATTTCATAACAAAATGACAGTAAGTGATACCAGCAAGTTCACCTTCCAGTGGGAAAAATAAAAGCAGAGCATCTCCTGAATAATTTTTTTATAAATTGGTGAGACTGCGGAGTAATATGAAGATGAAAGCTGTATTTCATTATTTTGCACCACGTCCACTTCATTTGATTAAATGAATAAATGAGATCCTTATGTCATACTAGAGGCACTACCCCTACTTTTGTTTACTACATCTTTCTAGCCTTAACCACAGCACACGCAGCACAGCTGGCTGGCAGCTCAACATTACAACACAACACACAGAGAAGTTAAGATAGGGGAAGTGATTCTTAAAAAAAAAAAAAAAAAAAGAAAAAAGCCACACAGAAAAAAAATCTTGCTGCACTTACCTAAGCAAAGTTGTCATTAGAGAGTTTTCCAGTAATAAAATCCAAGAAAAAAAGCCTGAAAAAAACCCACAGAAAAAGGTAAAGTTTTAGTAAGTAGGATAATACTCTCACTTTTTTCTCAGGAGTGTGAAAAGTCAGTAATTGAAAAAAGTACATTCACTCCATTAGCTGCATTTCAGATAGTTATTTGTAACAAAAAGGTGCTCCTCAGGCAGCAAATGTATCAGAAACAATAGGGCAGATTTCTCACTGCTGCTGCCAGCATTATACCAGTGCAATTCCCCAAATGTCAATCACGTTGGACTGCAATAAAACTAGTGTTATCCAGCAGACGAGTCAGGCCTAAGGCAATTAGCTAAGCTGCCCCATTTAGATTTTCAGTCATTTCTCCCTCCCACCGAGTTGGATTATCAGAAAATTTGGACCAAACTGTGGGGTGGGAAGCGAGAAGAGCCAGATACACACACACACACACAGAGTATGGCTGAAGGTGGCCAGAACCAAATACCCAAATCACCCCAAGGCTAATTGCAAAAGACTCTGAGGCAGCAAAACACAGAACAATATTAAGCAATCTGTGGTATACAAGACTTCATTATCGCATAAAAGGCATAAAAATAAAATGCACAGTGTGAATTGCTGGTAAAAATGGCATGTGGCCACGACAGGTCTTACCAAAATCACTGCTACCAAAAAAAGCCCTCAAGGCTTGTTGAGACTCATGAATGCAGACTGAGAAAAAAAAAAAAAAAAAAAAGGAAAACCACAGACCCAAACTAACTGAATATGGATGACTGCAAGGCTCCAAATCAAAGAGGGAGTTGACCACTGTTTAGGAGGAAGAAATCATTGCTTGTTCCAAGATTAAAAACTTATAATTCTGGCCCTGGCTGAAGCACTATCATTCACTAATCTGGTACAATTTAGCCAGGCTGATCCCCTCCTCAGACAGAGGGGCATTATCAAAAGTTCCTCCATTCATTTCGCTTCCTGTTAGCCAGTGAAAGCCCCTTTTATATGCTACTCCAGAGGCTGTTAAAGCCAAGGAAGACTTTCCGATAGAGAAGATAAGGTAGTTGGATTTATTCATGAGAGGAGGAAGGGAAGTTGTACAGGCTGATTACAGCTGCTCCAAAGCTGAAAAGTGGAGGTTTGGTGGAGGGAGGTGGAGGATGATGGATTTTTCATTAATAAGCATTATACCACTACCATTACTGTTAGAAGTAGCATTAACTCTCCTGATACTCAACTACATTTTACTCTCAAGTTGGCATCACCAAATACACACATGTGGTTGAATAATTCAAAACTACATGGACAAGGCAAAATGAGATATTTTTTAAAGAGATTGAGTAAATAATTTAAAAAAAAAATAGAATACCTGATACCATAAGGATAAACTAGCCAGAATAACAGGGAAGACACTGCCTAGAAATGGTCTCAAGACTAAGACTGTTCACGTATCATTTTCAGGGTCAGATCCTGTTGTTATTGCCAACATGAGCACTCTCAGACTTCAGTGGAGAAGGATGGTGATTTCCACATTACTTAACATGTGTCAGCAATTTTGAACAGTTGCTTTGCAGATTCTTAAGGCAAACCAAGCAAAACCCCACAAGAGAGCCCAGTATAGTACTTGGCAGATGAAAAGCTGCCTGGAAATTCTATCAAGACTCTGAAAAACATTCCCCCATTAACGTTCAAACAATCTGGTATAGTCAGAATAGTTTTTAAATGCAACAAGATGGAAATGCAAACAAAAACACATTTCTCAAGTTTAAAAAGGTCGAGCCAAAGCAGCAAAGCTCTACCAGAAGTTAGGGCTAACAATGATGGTTACAGGGGTAAACCCTTCCTCTTCCTTCCCCTTTCCCAGACTATTCTTCTCCAAACGAAGGAGAAAAATAAACAAGAATCAAAATACCCACAGCAGAAAATCGCACGCAGCTTTAAAAGAAAGAAAATAACTCAGCTATACCTCATCATTGCTCCATCCAGTCCGAACACATATCAAGTCATTAACTATTTTCCCCTCTGACAATGTCAGATGAGATCAATATAAGGAAAACCAATAAATTGCTTTTCAACACAGTTATATGAACGAGACAGACTTAAATGCCAACTGATTCATTTTTGAACAGGAAACAGTTTGAATCAGACAAGGATGGAGTGTAAATCTCTATTGAGCAGAAAAAGGGTATAACTAAATCTAGCACGGTATGAAGACTCAACAAAGATGGTCCACAGGTCACCATGTGGAGGGTGAAGTATTAAAGGTACTTACATAAACAGGGACAAGGCTGACAAACTACCTCTTGCTTTGCACAATATCCATATGAAAACAAAAAGCAACACGCTAAAACAAAACCTAGAGCTTATTTTGATCCAGTTTCTCCTTTAGGTTATTATAATAAATATACACTATACAAAACTTCAGCATAAACTGTACTGATCAGTTTGCTCTGTGGTCATATAATTTCTTCTCAGTGATCAAAGCAGTTAGGGAATCTAGGAGACAACAGTGACTTTCTATTCTGCCACCAGCCTGTATTTCTTCAGACACATCACTCAAGGCAAAGTTCAGCTGGCATCTGCTCTACCCACTTTGTGCTGTAGTGATTGGAATCTTGCCTGTTGCAATCACCAACTTCTATCATAAACTACAGCAAACACTCAGATTTAGTGGGTATCTCAGAAAAAGCTGCCAAGTGTCCGATTCCTCCACAGTAAATACGGGTAATACTGCTCACCTATCTTCAGATAGGCTCTGCCATACAAATCTGAAGAGACAATGTACTGTTATAAATCTCATGCACAAAAGCAATTGTACATGTTAATTTGCAGTTTCACACTATGAATAAGGACAAGCTTATCAAAGCACAAAGGGTGTTTCCTACAGTGGGAATGTCGTAATGGGATGACAAGACATAGCCTGCTTGTTCTGCATGTTTGGGAAGATTGTTGGGTCTTTCTGGTCACAAAACAACTCTTGTTGCAACAATATTTAATTAAAAACAAGTCACAAAAGTCCACCCAAAACTTCTCATTTGTTTTCAGGTCTGAGGAACCCACACTGGCAAATTACAGCTCATACTCACTGCATTACAAGGAAATGAAGAGGCATGGACTAGATGTTCCTTTTCAGCTTGATTAAGACCCAACTGCACCAGTTGCTACAGCTGATGTGAGGAAGTCACACTAAGTCTGAACAGTCTTCCCACTCAAGCTGACAGACTACAAGAAAACCACAGCCAGAGGCCCATGCCCACTGTTATGGAGCTGTATGCAACTAATTTTGTTCAGTTAAAATATGACTTTACACATCTGACAGTTTCAGGAAGGCCAAAAAAAGAAAAGGTTTACTTGGCTCTTACATTTCACTGCCCATTTTCTGCAAATACAAGGTTGGTTGTTGTTACTATGTTGGGGTTTAGGGTTTGGGGTTTTCTTTATAACCCCAAAAACCAAAAGTTCCTACTTCTAAAGACCACGTTATGTTTCTCATAGGCCTGGTTATGGATACACAGATGCATCTGTACTGTTACACTTGGGATAGCTGCAACTGAAGGCAACAGAATATTTCAATAAGAGTTTCTTTGTCACTGCAAGAATCTGCTCTGCCACACAAGCCTGTAACTCCAGATTTCTGCATACATTGTGAGGGGCACGAGGCATTACCAGTGGCTGGAGTTCAGCACGTTCCTGGGCAGTTCTACATCTTGACAAAGACGTTTAACATCTTTGCCTGAACATGGGAACGCTTCAAGGTGGTTTCAGTAGAGTTCAGAGAAGAAAATCAGCAAAGAAATCCAAAATTCACAGAGCAAACCCTGTACAGGCAGATCAGGCTTTGCAAACTCGTGACACATTGAAAGAGTATGGGTTCTCCATCTCCTCTCCAAGAGAAGCTGCAGCACATGCTCAGTGGTGCCAGGAAGGTTAGAGGGCTGCCAGAGCATGTACAGGAGAAAGTTTGTCTGCAAACAGAATAAACAGCCTCGACTGAATTCTTGTAACCAATTAAACAACAATTCTCTGCTGAGAATACAGCATCACTCAGCTTCTTACCTAATCCTCAACCCCTGCTTCTCAAGCTGGCCTTCAATTTTCAGGTCTTCCACTTTTCTTCAGAAGCAGAAGACAAATGAATACCAATTCTCCAGATATCCTGGTTGTAAGGCTTTTATTTGCCTTTTAAAGACCATCAGTACTCAAAAGTGACTTAACACTAATGAGCTTTTACCAGCAGGTCTGCAAACATTAATACATGTGAGCAGCCATACTAAATCCACCCCAATTACCTATCTGGGACGCTCTCCTCTAGCCTGGACTGGACTTACAGCCAAGAGATGACCAAACTTGGAAGGTGACTATAGATTTTCCCTGGTCTGCATCCCTGTGTTAGGCTACCCAGTGATGCTGAGCAGATGTATTTTGAATGTGCTGTTTCATCTCATGTAAGGGGGGGGGAGGAAGAGGAAAAAGATTCAGAAATAGTACTTATCTGAGAAAAAAAAAAAAAAGGCAAATATTTTAAACTAAGTACTGCTACTGTTTGCAGAATGGCCTGAAAGAGAGATATATCTGGAATTCCTTTAAATGCATGTGTTCAGTTTTTAAACTGCAAACGAGTCAATCTGACAAACCAGCTCAGTTAGGATTGCTCCAATGAAGCAGAGGGTCCCGTCCCCTAAGCCAGCACAATTTTCTGGCATAGACACTGGTGTGTGAGATTTTACATTCCCTTTACATAAACAGTCATACATCAAGCTCTAAAAATTTGCTTCACAGAAACATTTGCACTAGTAAAATTCAATTATTCTAATATTTGTATGACACATGCAGGAGGGGTACATAAAAAGGTTATGGTGAGCTCATTTAAGAATTTAAACAAGAACTTGATAAAAAGGTTTTGAATTATTCACTCAGCTCCACTATTAAATCAGGCTTCCAAAGGAGTCTTTAAACAACAGCCCAGAAGACACTGTATTTATAACAAAAAGGCAGTACTGAAGCCATCACACTGTCTCACAGCACAGACCATTCATAATTACA